TGTAATCATTTATTCTGTGTTCTGTAAGGCAATAACATTAAATAAAAAATAAAAGAAATTTAAAAAAAAAAAAGAAAAAAAAAAGCAACCTGGAAAATCAGCTATTTCTTTGTATCGACTAAAGTGGACCACAATAGTGGTTTTTATAAGGGATTTTCCTCTATCCCTTTATCGGTAAAGTGACTTTAATGAGAGGGCCAAAAAGTTTTTCAGGCCCTGACCTTAATTTAAGCAGCGTACAAAGAAAGTCATGTCCAATGGCCCTGGGCGGGTGTCAGATTTCACAGTCAGGCTGGTGGTTTTTCTCCTCCACTTACCTGAAGGGTAAGTGAAATTTCATCAGAAACTTTTCAAGGAATTCATCTCTTACAGAAGCACTGTAAGAGATGAATTTTCTGGAGCTAGTAAGAATGACTTTTGGGCTAGTACACTTGTGTTACAGCTCGCCCAAAGGACAAGCCTGAAAAGGGTTTTCTTTGCACCCTGTTTAAGGCCCCAAGGGTTGGAAAAATATGTGAATCCCAACCTTATAGAGAGGCCTGGATCCACCATTGACATGTACTGTATTGCTTCTCTGTTGGCTAGGTAGTAACTGGGTATGTAACAGGTACAAGGATGGCAAAAAATTATTCTAGAATTAAACAACTGCCTCTTCCATTTTGCCACTTTCTAACAGAAAAGGCATATTGTTATCGTGACAAGCAAGTTTTTCAGTATGTTCCAGGATCTAAGGCTGTGTTCACACTTGGTACCCAAACACTGGTGCCTGGGCACTGGCATTGACAAAATAATGTTGCATTCGATTCAGACACTGGATAGTCCAAGCACCCAAGTACCATTTGGTGCCCAAATACAAGGTCAAGACCTTGTACCTAGACACGGGCACTCTGCCTGAATTTTGGTGTGAGTACTCAGAAAAAAGGTGTTCACATTTATTTAGTGCCCAGCAAGAATCGTACTTACACACCACGTTCAGGCAAAATGTGTAAACATAGCCTATGGTTCTTTGAGTTTGCAAGGATCTCTAATTCACTGTACCTGTAAATACCAACAAGTTTTGGTGGCTTCCCAGGTGGCTTGAATTCTTCCTTGATGCCATTCTCTGCCAGCAATTTGAACAATGCTATTCTTCCACTGGACAGCAAAACTGCTATGTCACCACAGCAGGGTGCGGGAGAAAAACTGACACAAGAGGCAGGTGACGGCAGCTCTACAGCATATGCTGACATTGGTGGAGGCACAACCATATGCTTCATTGGAGTTAGCAGCAACTTAGCTAGATAAAAAGGGGGACGTTTTACAAAATAATCCTGTCATACATAATTTGGATTCATTTGAGAGATTACTATCAAGTATATAATTATGTAGTTATTCACTGCAGTTCATTACATTTTTAAACTATAAATTACTGAGGTCAACCAATCAACAAGCTCATTATAATTATTTCAAGATTCAAAATGCAAAACTTTGGTCTCAAGATTTAGACTTGATTCTCAACATTTTCAAGAATTGAGAATCGAGTTTCCTGACATGAGAACTGGGATGTACATGTACACTGCACGTGACTGTCAACTTTGAGCAGTACTGTACACTGTACCTGTGTGACAATACATGTACTCCCACACAGAAAAGCTGTTACGCAAGTCCCACAAGTAAAACTGCAGCTACATGTAAATAAATTAATAGCTTAAAGGTATATAAAGAGGAAGAGAATTTCTGATCACAATGAAGTGTCAAACTACAGGACGATCAAATCCTCTCACCTACATGATGATGGGAAGTCACAAAAAGGAGTACTGTTATTACATAGATACACCGCAAAAGCATACCTCCATCTATTACTGCAACTGTAGACATGTTGGACTCACTAATCCCTTCACTGTGAACTGTGCTCCAAAACCATTCATAGTAGAAGTAATGACCTCCTGTAAAAATTATGTTGTATAACCACTGAATTTTAATTGGGTGAAAGTAAATGTACAATTATGTCTAACATACACAAGGATGTCTCCTTACTGTGTAGACATATTGCAAGCAACTGAGAGCCATCTCTGATTTAGGAAACTCATAAGTCTAGGGGGGATTGCAAAACAAAATCTCTGTACGGAGCAAATGTTTATACACAAAGCTGTTACATATCCTCCTTGTGGCACATGGAGCCTTTTGTACACAGAGAAACTACATGAACCTTAAAATACTGTAATACATTATGACATTTTACCCACCTCTTGTCATAATGTGGAGCCTCAAGGGGACTTCAGGATCCCAAATGAAACATGCCACTCTGTTTTTCAGCGATGCTGGGAATTCCATCTGTTGCTTGAGATACCAGTGGTAGTTGTTAACAGACCACAACTGAACTACAACAAGATCAAACAAGCACAAGCAAAGAACATATTAAACCAAGCACTACCATTCTACTGCAGATTTAAATCACAAATAAAATAGATATTTTTGGATGAAATACACAACCTAAAAATTTCATTACCTCAGACATGTTTATACTTGCGACATTAACAGGGTAGTATGCAGGGATTGTAGAAAGAAACACATGCTGTGTAAGAGTCGTATTTTTCAAATTTTAATGAGCTTAGCAATGATATTTCTACCTATACAGTAATGTACATGGAAGTCGTTTTGGGGATTAAAATACATTTTTCTGTTTTCTTTAAATTGTACCTGGTTTGGGTTCATTTTGACATCACTCAAAAAAACCTCACTGATTTTCACCTAAATTGCACTCCACTCAGTCTAATACAATGATGACTAAATTTAATGTGTTAAATAAATACTCTTCGGTGTGTAAGGTCTCCATAAGATGATGTGAGCTGGACCTTACATTACGCCTGGTAAGCTGCAAATAAGGTATGGTTTTGAGTGAAGTCTAATGAATTTATTGACAACACATACCATAAGACTTTGGAAGAAATTCTTGCGACTGTGGTATCTCTTGGCTTGGTAACTCTTCCGCCCACACAGCTAGCACATATGAATCGCTATTCCATGCCACTTCCACCACCTACACATCAAAATACCCAAAGATTAACACTTCCCATACCCTGCTCTCAGACTTCCTGTACCTTCAGTTCCCAACTCCCATCCTTAACTGTCCTGCTCCCATCCCCTGTAAATATGGAGCTTAAGGAAACCACGACTGCAATGGCAACAGCAACATCGCTAAACAAAAGGTTTAATGCGCAGAATGGCTGTGGACGTAAATTATGATTCTTGGTACATTTCTTTGCCGTCCCTTGCAATACAACAACATGAAATGACCAACTTCTGCATAGTCTGGAGAACATGAACCACTGTAGCTAATTTTTTAAATTTTTATTTCAAATTTATTGATGCGTCCTGGATTCAGTTTCTTGATAACCTTGACAGTGATAAACAAAGTAAATGACTTTAGGACACCGCGAGATTCATAGCTAAATTATAAAATCATTTTTAGATTGACGTTGTCCTTGCTGTCACCGTTGTGGTTTCTTTCTAAAAGCTCCCTAATAGCAGACTCAAAACACATCCTTATCATGCACATGTAGCTGCACAATTGCTTGCTTTTTAACCCAAGCACAAGGTTTTTTAAACACAAGTCAAATAGTATCTCGGCTTCTTGTTTTTGAAAGTATCATAAATGATGCATTTTAATTTAATAAATGACCAAAATTTGTATTTTGTAAATGTAGTTCTCTCTGGCTTCCTGCCCTCTTAGAACTTCTGCTTCCTGTTCCTTCCTCACCTGCCTCCTGAACCCCTCCCACCCCTATTCTCCTGGGCTCCCACCTACTGTCCTCACAACTTTTATAGCTCCAGTGCATTTAATGTGCATTTATTGTTAGACTTTTTTCAATTAAAATATGTCTTTTGGTTTTGAATTTACAAAGCAAAGCTTGTGATAATTGATAGTGCCTCTTTAAAGGTGGGCATATTCTGTGAGCCATGTGTTGAAAACAGTTGATAGTTACTCTTATTTCCATCTTGCCAAAGGGCAGTATAAACTCTCCATGTCTGAGCCCATTCCTCTCAAAGAAAATCACTTCATGTCTGTGTGGCTTACGTTGGGTTGAAGCTATTAAGCTACCAGATGGCCTAAAAAAAAGTAAGAAAAAAGAAGGAAAATTTAAGTACAGTACATGAATAACACAAGAATACAATAGAAAGTGAACATAACCTCTCAAGCTTTGCCCTTACTTCCAGAACAAAGCCTGCTCCAAGCCATCAACATTTTCACTGGTAGAACTGAGCACCCCTTCTCTGTTCCACACTCGCAATGTTCGTGCACCTAAAAACATATTTTAATTTATTTTTATTTGATTTGATCTATATTCTACCAAATCATGTTCAATTACAACTTACAATTTGAAACAATTACACTAGGAAGAAATGGAAGAGGGCAATTTATGGTTAAGCTAATTGTATGCCCTTGAAGCAGCTCGCAGTTGAGGCTGCGGGGGAGTACTATGGAACGCCAGAACTGTCTTATGATACTTTTTTTTATTATATTGGGTGGTTATGTCATTATATTGAGTAGTTATGTTATTATATTCGGTGATTA